GTCTCGATCTCTTGACCTCGTGATCCACCCGCCTCGGCCTCCCACAGAGCTGGGATTACAGGCTTGAGCCACCGCGCCCGGCCGTTCACCACTGGTCTTTTAAGGCCCCGTATAACTGCTGGCTCCTCCTCAAGCCTTCCCAGATTTCTTGAGTTAAAACTAATCTCTTCCACCCTCTGTTCTCAAAGCATTTCTCAGAGGCTACTGTGTGGTGTTACGGAGGCGGCCCTCCCGGTGTGTGTCCACAACGGGAGCTACTTCTTGTTCGCCTGGTGCAAAGTGGTGACAGTCATTGAGAGCTTCAGGGTGCTGGTAAATGCTTAGGTGAAAGTTCTGCGGGTGGCTGGGGGCCCTCCCGGAGATGACACCCAGTCTGACACTGGCCCCTCCCCCACCTCCTTAGGGATCTACAGGATGAGTCCTAATGTTTTTTTTTTTTTTGACGCAGTTTTGCTCTGTCGCCAGGCTGGAGTGCAGTGGCATGATTTCCATGCACAGCAGCCTCTACCTCCCAGGTTCAAGCGATTCTCCCGCCTCAGCCTCCTGAGTAGCTGGGACTACAGGCGCGCACCACCACGCCCAGCTAATTTTTGTATTTTTAGTAGAGATGATGTTTCATCATGTTAGCCAGGATGGTCTCGATTTCTTGACCTCGTGATCTGCCCACCTCGGCCTCCCAAAGTGCTGGGATCACAGGTGTGAGCCACCGTGCCCGGCCTAACTTTTTTTTTTTAATTTATTATTATTATTATTTTTGAGACAGAGTCTGGCTCTGTTGTCCAGGCTGGAATCCGGCTCACTGCAACCTCTGCCTCCCAGGTTCAAGCAATTCTCATGCCTCAGCCTCCCAAGTAGCTGGGAGTACAGACACCCACCACCACGCCCAGCTAATTTTTTTCTGTTTTTGGTAGATATGGGGTTTCACCATGTTGGCTGGGCTGAGGATGCTTTCTAACTCTGTAAAGCTCCATCTCCTGCCTAGTGGGACTCTAGGTGTTTTGTTCTAATCTGAGGAGGGCTGAGGTCACAGGGGACTCTAAGCACACCAGGTGGTATGATCAATTTGGTTCCCCGCACAGTTATTAGGGGAGTGATGAGGACATCTGAGCCCCTGATGGGTGCTGGTCCCAGGCCTGGGAGGGGTCCTTAGAGAGTGTTTTTCTAGAGTTGGTGGATAAAAGGCATGGGGGTTGAAGATTTAGAAGAATAGTATTTTTTTTTTTTTTTGGAGACAGAGTCTCTCTCTGTTGCCCAGGCTGGAGTCCAGTGGCACGGTCTCAGCTCACTCCATCTCCCGGGTTCAAGCGATCCTCCTGCCTCAGCCTCCTAAGTAGCTGGGATTACATGTGTGCACCAGCATGCCTGGCTAATTTTTGTATTTTTAGTAGATACAAGGTTTCATGGCCAGGCTAGTCTTGAACTCCTGACCTCAGGTGATCCTCCCGCTTTGACCTCCCAAAGTGCTGGTATTACAGGCATGAGCCACCATGGCAGGCCTCAGAAGGTGCTTTCAAACTGCTCCCTGCCACACACCCCGCCCTCCACCAGATAATCTGAGCCTGGCCCTCGAGCCCCACGTCTGGGGCAGAAGAAGCCTTGAGACATTTACTGAGTCCCGGGCCCCAGCCCTGATCAGGTGGCTGGTGAAGGTAAGCAGAAAAACCAGTTGGTCTGAGGTTTCCACTTGAACATTCCAGAGAAAGTGGTGGGGACAGGGGAGGGGTCGTTGCTACCTGGCAAGGGATCTAGGGGTGGCGTCATCCTGGGGACTGCCTAGACCTCCAAACTGGGGGAGGGCACTCCCTCTGGGGGAGGCCAGAGGGGAGGCCTCCCAGAGCCCCCAACATGCAGAGTTGAAGGTGGGAGGTGAAATAGACGATCACTCTTTGGAGGTAGAGTCTACACTGCCCAGTCTGTGTTCCCAGCCTTCTTGTGAAGTGGGAGGGTGCCGTCCTTATTTTCCTGATGAGGAAAGAGAGGCTAGGATGGTGAAGTAACCCAGCTCCACGTCATTCAGCCGGTGCATGGCCCGGATTTTTTCATTCACTGACTCCTAACACAGTGCTCCATGTATTTTGTCACCACCCTTCAGGCTGTGGGGACCCAGGGCCAAAGGGGTGCAGCCTGCGGCTAGGTGGCAGTGGCGCTGAATGGGTTAAGGAGGGGAGGTGGCGGGAGTCCCGTAACCGCACCTGGCCCAGTATCGGTCACGTGGCCAGGGTTTCACCTGCCCCGCTGAGCAGGGACAATCGGGCTGCTTGTTTCATGGCTGGTCGCCATGGTGACAGCAGCTTGCTAGGGGAGGTCACGGGGCAAATTCCTGCTGGCCGGCCGGGTGGGGCAGGAGTGTCAGCTCTGCTGGCACCAGTCGGGGCTTCCTGGAAGACCCCTGGAGCTTTCCCTTGGGGCTGTCCCCAGGGGGCCCCTCTGTGACTCCGATCACAACCTCCTCCCATCTCAACCCCCACGTCAGCTTCCCTCCTCCCGGATTTTGAACCTGGGTTATGTATGAAGCAGCTAGGATTTTCATATACATTATCTTGTTTAATCCGCATAGCAGCCTTTCCCACGTGGGAAAGGTAATCCCTGCGGGTCTGTTGCCGGGGCGCCTCCCCTGCAACTTGCCCAACACTTTGAGAA